AGCAGGAGAAGCAGCTCTGTGGTCTTCTCCTAAAGTGCCTTTTGAGCATCTCAGCACAAAACTGTGTCATACTGTATATACCACACATTTGTAAGCACACACAGACATGCACCAAATATATACACCACTCCTGGTGGAATAGGTAAGCATCTACAGTACTGCAAAATTGCTTAGATTGGAGAAAAGTACTCTGTCTCTCTCAGGAATGTACTGTAGAGCCAGGGATTTGGCCACATCTCTGTTTACTTGTGTGTTCGGTTTCAATTTACCCCAGAGCGCTGGATGTTATTTATGCTAAATTAAGGCCGGGAGAACATGTATCATCCCCACGTCTAATGCTCTTTGGAGACAAATTCAAGAGGTTAATTGCCAATCATGAAAGTTGCACCAAATCTCAGTACTCACAAGTACACAGATGATGACAAAATGGTTAATTATTAAAGCGGGACAAAATCGCAAACCCATTATTCGGCTAATACTTTGCATGCTCTTTGCAAGCTGGTTTGTTGCCGACTCCTCCAGGTGACATTTGTAAGATGTTCACCTTAAATGTTTGATCCTTCGAACTTCACAAGACTCTGCAACAAATCCATATATAAATATATATTTACATATATATATATTTACATATAAATGTATGTAAATAGTGTGTAGTGTGTATGTATATATATATATATATATACAGTATATGTGTCTATACATATACTGTAAATATATTTTTATATTTACCCACTGGTTTACCCACCTCATTGTTTACATGCAGAAACATATTGTGGATCAATGCCTGCACCAATGTTGTGTAATTAACATGAGTAATTACTGTGCTTAATTTACAGAGCCACCCAAGGTTCATAATGGGGCTGCAAAACATTGACCCATGACAATTGATTGATCCCTCCTTCCTTTAAAACCATGCCCCTGCTAATGACTAAGTAATGAGCAAATAGTGTGTGGCCAGGGTAAATATACAGCTTTTGCTCTCCATATACAGATCTGCTGATCCCACTCTGCCTCCCCCCACCTCTGCCCTTACTCCTCCGTCACACACCGTGCGTGACTGTGCGCATGCACGTTGAACACGCAGCTTGGTAATCAGCCACACAGACTCGCCTTTGGTGGCTGGAGACTGATTCAATATTCCAGTGTGTAATTTATGCAGAAATAATTCTTTACAGGAATGGAAGGACTGGAAGGAGAGCAGAGAGAAAGAGAGGGATGGAGAGAGAGAGAGGGAGAGAGAGAGAGAGGGAGAGAGAGAGAGAGGGAGAGAGAGAGAGAGGGAGAGAGAGAGAGAGGGAGAGAGAGAGAGAGGGAGAGAGAGAGAGAGGGAGAGAGAGAGAGAGGGAGAGAGAGAGAGAGGGAGAGAGAGAGAGAGGGAGCAAGAAATGTAGAGAGGAAGAAATCTGTGGTGAAATAATTATCCCCGGTGTCACTGTAGCAACATTCTGTGAAGATGATGTCAATAAAATATTGAGCTACACGATCCATTTCAATTTCACCTCAAAAAAGGATGCTTCAAAAGGTCGTGCGGCCGCAAGAAGGAGGAGAAGGAGAAGCCACCATGCGTGTCAACACACGTGCGCTTTTCCATTCAACGCAGAGCGAGGCTGTGGCTGGCGACGTGTGCTGCTTACTGAGTTGCAGGGAAGCACATCATCGCCTGCAGTCATTTAACTTGTCAAAACAGAAGGGCTCCGTGTCTCCTCATATTTAGATTTAGTAGATTTGAATTACTGGAAATAAAGTGAAAGAGGATGAGATGAGAAATCAAATGAGTGATGCTTCCCCAGAGAGCCATTGGGAGCAAAGTATAGATTATGGTCATTTGCAGCAGAAGGGTGGGTAATAAGAGCCGCCGTGTCAGAGGGCATTTATGTGTTTTGTGTGTGTGGTAGTGTATGTGTGTATATTTCAAGTGATGCCTTAAAGATGGGCTTCACTGAATTCTTCTCACAACTTGAATTGAGCAACACAATGTACATGGAGAATCTATAAGACAGTAGAGTTTCATTGGTGATGTCAGATCACTGGGTGGTATGTCTTCATCCACACACACGCACACAGGGTCACAACAGTGTCATGACATCCTCATCTTTTTACAGTGGAGTGTGATTTAAATGTAAAAATAAGTCCAGGTGAAATTTGCGAATCTTCGTTGAATGTTCTTTCTTTCTCGTTGAAAGTTTTGCGTAGATGTCTGTGCCCCCGAGACACTTCCTTTTAATGGTGTTCTGCCAGTGTTATGACTGTGTTGACATTTATTGTTAATGAAACGTCTCTGCAACTATTGGTTGGATTGCCACCGGGTTAAGTATAGACATTTATTCTAGTCTGGTTTCTCGATATGTCACAGTGTTTTTTATGATTCCCAACCACGAGGATTGGAATACAAGAATAGACTCTGACAAAGTTCAGCCTGTCTGTCTCTGCTGTAGACTCAAACAAATTCTACACATTTTTGTGCTAAAAAAACATAGGAAAATAAAGTGCATGTTGATCCTCTAGAGCAGGTACGGGCAAACTAAGGCCCAGGGGGCCGAATGCGGCCCGTTCAGCTTTGTAATCCGGCCCGCCAAACTTGTCTAAATTACAGTATATAACTGGTTTGTATTGTGATTATATTTCTGCCTTTTCCCTGCAATGCCCACAATTTCCCTAAAGATGGCATAGAGAAGGCTAAAAGCATCTTAGCATTTTAGCCTTTATCCATAACTTTTACATGTCGTTTATCTTAGTTCACACAAACGCTCCATCTATCTGCTCCTGACCCGCCCCACCTGTCAAATTCAAACAGTTTGCCCACGCCCACTTTAGAGAATGACAGTATCTCTCTATACTGTACAGTATCAGTAAATGTGCTAGACTGGTAGGTATGGAGTGATGGAGTAGAAATGTTGGTGAGGTGGATGTAAAGGCCAGAAGTGCTGGAGAGCGATGTTTCTCGTTTCCCCCCGCCGTCTCTCCGCGGACACTCCTGCACTCAACTCCCAGACATTTCATTATTCTGCATCTTCGTCACTCTTATTAAATCCATATATCTTATCTTGAGGCCAGTGCTCATCGACGTGGTGAATAACATACATGTCAAAACGTTAGCTTGCGTGCGTGGAACCGCGCTCTGTCCTGCACTCGGGAGAGACGTGTGCGAAATGAATAATTTATCCAAGTGAATAATAACAATAGCAACTCCTTCACCGAGGCTTTTGTCTGAGAGAGTTTCCTTCTCACATTTCACTTGTTACAGTTGGCCTTGCATAAACCAGATACCTATCTGGACAGATTTGCATAGAAACACCCTGCAACGTGGCGAAAAGGGAGCAATTAGGATTCATGGCGGCACCTCCCCTCCGGATGCTCTGCCGCCATGTGAGACAGCAGTAACTGATTGAAATGGAGGAGCATGGACTTGTTCATGTGCCTCTGTCTGACTCTAGCCCGCAGTTTCTCTCCTCTCTCTCTCTCTCTCTCTCTCCATCAACCCTTTTTTTTCATAGTCATCTACTGCCAAAGCGCAGATTATCAGTGGCTCAGGGCTGGTCGGAACTTTGTTGAGGAGCCCGAGGGGAAAAAACCTCTTATGGAACGGGTTAACAACATAATCAAACATGGTGTGATTAGTAGTTAACGGATGCAGCGGGTCACATCGTGCAGTTGTTTGAATCAGGTGATGCAGTCCTTGCTGTTGGAGTCGAGTTGCTCCGAGCATGTGGGAGGTGTTTGACACAAACAAGGCTTCCAGCTTGCAGAACCAGGAACAGATGGTGCTGGAAAATGAGGCACCTCTCAGAAGCATTGAAACGCCATCCAACGACCCTCCCCACACTTCTCCCTCTCTCTCTCCTCCACACTCCCTGTTATCCCTCCTTCTCCGTCGTTCCTTTATAATTCAACCTTTTTTAGCCACGACTATTGAAGAATTTGTGATATTTCCCAGTCAACATTAAAAAGGGAGAAAAAGCCAAACATAGAGAGGGATTCAAATGGTGGGACCATGGGGTTGCTTAGGGTCAGTTCCTGGTGAGGGGTTTTTGTTCACCTGGTTGGAGCCAGCAGATGGCAGACTTGGATTTGGACCTCTCCAGGGAGGTAAAATAGGGAGAAGAAAAAAACAAGACGTGTTTCCAAAAGGCTGTATATATTTACACATTTAATAGAAGGCTGGTGTAAAGGGATATTTCAGTTTCTGTTTGTTAAACAAATGTTTTTGGACACAGAGAAAATCTCTGGCAAAAAGGCCAACGATGAAGATTGCTGTGTTTTCGTGAATACCTCCAACATATCAAAGACTGTGTTTTTAATCATAATTTTAAAAAAGAATAATAATTAGTTGAAAATATATTTTTATCTGTAATTTTTTTAAATCAACTTCCAGACATTTCAGGTGACCCTATTTGAACACAAATGGAGAAAATGCAGGCTACATACAGAAAGATCGCCACCATGTGGCTCTGGCAGCTAATTTGTGTAAGAATGACTATGCATGCAGGTAATTCACTGTATAATGTGGCCGAAATATAAAACATCACGATTTTATATCTTAATGTAATTGGGTTTTCCACATGTAATTACTGGTGATTTCCAAGTGTTGGTACATTAATGGTGTTCAGCTCGGTCTCCAGTGCAGGAGATGGTGCTGTGCTGCTAATATTTGCTAAATATGTTTCATAAAAGTGTCTGAGTGTATAATCCCAGGTGGAATACGGAGACACACAGTGGCTCTAATGGTTTTGCAATTATAGTATTCAAATAAACTGCAGTAGCAGATTAGGGAGTCAGAGAAGCACAGTAATTTACAACTTATTGTATAATCGGTTGAATAATGAT